CGGCTTCCTCTGCCGCAGGAGACCGGCGGGGGGGGGGCCCCGGCAAACCCCAAGCCCTAGGGGGGGGGGGGGGGGTGCGGACCGCCCCAGCGGCCACGGGGGAACGACGAGCGGCCTCGGAGATCCGGCCTCTGCCCTCCGCCGCCTTTGCTTTGCACTGGGGAAAGTGGCGAGGGCGACGCCGCCGGGAAGGCGACCAGCTGGGCAGGAGGAGGACGGCGGTGCGCCCTGCTCCGTGCCCTCCTCCCGCCGCCAGGGCTGAAAGAGTCACCTTGGACTGACGGACACGTGCGCTTCAGCTCAGGAGGGGGAGGGATCTCCGGGGATCCGGAGCCTTAGAGATCGCCTTGGGATTCCACCCCGATCCCCTCCCCCCCGCTTTTTTCTTTTCCTTTCTGCGCGCGCGCGCACCTCTGTTTTTCTCCCGGCTTTGAACTTTGGAAGAAGTGGGTCACCACTACTCCCACCCCGGAAATCTGGCGCGGCCGAGAAAGGGTCACCCGGCTGGACTCTGAAGCTTTGGATCCGAATCAAGGAGAAAGAGAAGGAGCCGCAAGCAAATCCCTGGAAGTATGTGAATTTAACACTGAAAATGAATGCGCCTAACCCTTTTTCTCTCTACGAATGCATGGCGGCAGGCGACGGCCGGATCGGCTAAGACTGTAGCAGCGGGCTCCTTTGTTGCATTATCACCCCCATTCCCACAGCCACATTTCACCACCATCCTCATCCTCATCTTCATCCTCATCCTCATCATGGAACAGTTGGCTATCCAAGAGAGCTTTTCCACCTGTTGCGCCTGGTGGAGGGACTATCCAGCCATAGATGACCCACACGCACGTGCGGCGATCGGACTGCCCTCTCCTCCGCACCCTCCACTTGCATGTGTGAACGCAGCGAAGGCGCGCTTGTGCATTCCAACGGGCGCGCGCTGGTAGCCTTAGCCGGAGGGTGGGCGGAACTGCGGGGGAGGCGCCCAGATAACGCGTGTCAGTCTTTGCCGTGGGAAGAAGAGGGCGGCGGCGGGTTACCTCGCAACTACCTGAGCGTGGGTGTAGATGGTGGCTGAAGGCCAGCGGCGAGCAGGGGCTGAAACTCCTGGTTTCTGCCTTTCTCCAGCAAAGCGCTTTCTTAGCCCTCTCCTCTCCTCTCCTCTCCCCTCCCTCCCCCGCCCCTCCAATCTGCAGCAACCTCGGAGCGTTGCTGTAGGCGCTGTTTCTTGAATTATTGGAGTTTTTCTTTTAAAGTTTGTAGCTATATTTTGGGGTTATTATTTTAGACTTTTAGAGTTTCAAGTCACAAACTAGGCAGACAGGGCTGTCAGGGCTTTGAAAGTTGGCACTCCAATAGTCCAATGAATAAGTAATAAGTCAACAATATGGACTCAGTAAATGAAGGACTCCCAAATCAATAAGATTTGTAACTGAAAAATGCTTTATAAAAGGCTGGTGCTGGTGATTTATGTATGTATTAGAGTGCCTATAGGAGTGTGACTCTATGTGTGTGTGTGAGTGCATATACAAATGAGTTTGACTTTGTGAGAGATTGTATATTCAGACTATGAGTTGAATTGTGAGTGTGCACTGTATATTCAAATGCAAAGGTGACTGGATTTGTGAGTGTGAGAGTTATATAGGAGTGTGTCTTGATTTGTGGCCGACAGACTGGAGTGTGACTTGATTTGTGGGTGTATGACAGTATATATTCAGATAGGAGTGTGACCTGAATTGTTTGTGTGTGTAGTGTATATACAGATATAAATGTGACTTGATTTGTGGGTGTGTGAGGGAATGTATATTAAAATAGGAGTGATTTGAATTGTGAGTATGTGGTGTATATATACATATACAAATGTGACTTAACTTGTGGGTGTGAGTTATATACAGATAGGAGTGTCACTTGATTTGTGAGTGTGTGTGAATGAATGAATATATATACAGTTAGGAGTGTGACTTGATATATGAGTGTGTGTTTCAAAACACACAAATCTTGATGAGTAGGTGTGAGAGAGTTACAGTACAGATAGGAGTGCAACCTGAGTTGTGTAAATGTGTCTCTCTGTGTGTGAATACCGAGACAAGAGCCTGGTTTTCTTAGCCCAGGAGCTCAAATGTTTGTGTGTGTAACTGAAAAAAGGAGGAAAGTGGCCATAAATAATAATAAGGCCCACCACATCGTTGGAAAAATCATAGGATTTGGGGGAGATCTTTTCACTCAGTAGCTCCCTGTTTTGCAGGCAGAAGATCCTGCGTTCAAGTGCCCAGCTTCCAGTGGGGCTGCAAAAGATCCCCACCTCATGCCCTGCAGGGCTATTGCCAGACAGAGTAAACCCACCTCTGCCAGTTGGGGGCTTTCCAGATGTCTCATCTTCCAGACTCTCATGGTAGGAAATAAACGGGAGCTAGATGAAATGTAACCCTCAGCCTTTCTTTGTTTCTTTCAGCAGCCAACCTGATTAACACAGAATATAGCAATGATCATGTTCCTTTCTTTCTTCTTTTTGTCCCTAGTAACTGTTACACAGAGGTCTACTGCCTCTATAAAGATGGAGGGTCTGTTGAGAGCTGGACGAGTAGTGTCTCCAGGGAACTCTGCAGCCTTTCTGAGGCACAACAAGAAGGTGGTGGTGGTGGGTGATCAAGCAAAAACTGTAGAACAAGGTGGAGGTGCTCTGTGGCTCTCCAGAGGTGGGAAACTTGGGGATCACTAGGTAGCATTGGACCACAAATCATTTCAGCCTCAGACCCTAGGTCTAATAGTTCAAGGAGATGGGAATTGTGATTCAGGCTATAGATGTTTGTATGACCCCAGATGGAGACTATGCTGAGAGAAATGGTCTTATGGGTCTTCTTTCTATAACACCTCTCTGAAAAGAGTGGATTGGGACAGGATTTAACAGTGTTCGGCATATGCTCATGGAAGTGAAGTCCTATTGAATTCAATATCTTAAGCATGGCTAAACTTGGTTCTGATATTTGGGGAATAGATTATAGCTTTGAAGTAGAGTACCTAACCAGACTGAAAAAGGGTCAAGGCTCAAATCCCTGGTCAAAGAACCAGGAGAACAGCAGCTATCAGCCTAGGTGCCAGATATGTGAAAGAGAAGAGCTTCCAGAATTCCTAAAACTGGAGAAATTACATGTACTACGGGTTAAAGGAGAGATAGACAATCTATCCTACCATAATTTCCAGTGTATCTCGCTACTGGCCATGCTTCCCAGAGATTATGGGAATTACCATTCAACAGTGTTTGAACTGCCCAAAGTTGCCTGCTTCTGGATCAAGGAGAATAAGCACCTAATTTTGTGGTGCTGTTTACACGGCACACTTAACAGGGTTGACGTGGGGGTGGGGAGCTCTTTGCTATAATCCAAAATCAAATTAAGCAAATATCCCCCAGTTTTCCATGTCAACTGAAGAGGTTATTGGGGTTATTCACCACTTTGAGTTGCTGGCATTTAGGTGACCTTGTTGATTGGATAAATTTATTTATTTGTTTGTTTGTTTATTTATAAATTAAATTTATATGGCCACCCATCTCATGAAAAAGTGACTCTGGGCAGCACGAAATAAGATTATAAAACAGTAAACATATAAAAAAAGTTATTATTTGAAAAATTAAAAATCACAAGGCTAAAAAAGGACAGCAGATGTTAATAATAGAGGCACTGCAATATTTCACCAGTCCCCTGGGATCCCCAGGCCAGGTGACAAAACCAGGTTTTGAGGGACTTCCAGAAAATCAACAAGGATGGAGCCAGCCTTACTTTGGGTCGGGGGGAGGATGTTCCATAAGGTGGGTGAAATTTCTTTCCCCAGGCTGGCACTTACCATGTTTTAGGGCAGCCTTACAGCTCTCTTTGATTAGGTTCATTCTCACCTCTTGAGACTATACAACATGGTGCTGATGCTCATAAGTCTTCTTCAATTCTCACTATAGATGTTGAGCTCTGCTGCTAGTGACAGTCCTGCACATTGGTTGGGAGAATGATGGTAAAGGTTCTTACCAAGTCATTGGAAACATGGTGGTGGTGGTGATGGTGGTGGTCATACCCACCAACACTGGAGCCAGTGTTATCTGTAACAAATTGCAATGGTGCCAGAATGATGACATGCACTCAGTGACATCACCACCCAATGCTGTGATGACATACTTGTCTTTTGACCAGCAACTGGTACAAAGAGTTTCAAACTGGCCAGATGGTGGATGCAATATCACAAGGTAAGCCGTACTCCTTTAGTACATGGGTGCAATGTTGGTACCTGTACAAAAGGGCTGGGATGTGCTTTGCATCCATGGGATCACCATCTTGGCTCTTTTGATTCTCCTCTTGGATGCTGCTGGTCCTGATGTCTAACACAAGCAAGGAAGCAATGGCATGGTGATGCTGATGTTGTGACATACGTGTTAACATCACAAGACACATGTCCACATACATCTCACCCCTTTTTTTCTCTTGAGGACATCCATGGCTGTGGCACCCAGGGAGAAAAAAAATATTTCAGGAGGCAACTGCTGGGTGAATCCAACTTTCTAGATCCAAAGAGGCTATATAAAAATGCTCTTTTTAAAAGACATCATCATTGCCTAGGTCCTGTGCAAAAGCAGTGCAGCAGATTTTGATCAAGCTTATGTGTATCAACAGAGGAGTTAGTCTGGCAGACAAGTGCTAATCTTAGGTACGTTCTGTGCTCCTGACTAAGGCCAGTCTGTTTTTTCACAGCATGCTGTAGAACTAAAAAGCTTCCTGACTGATTTTGCTTATCTTGGGAGGTGACACGAATTCTGCCTTGGGTGCCAGATTCATCTGACGTTTATCACCAGGAAGAAGAAAAACCCAGTCCAGGCTATTTGCCTCAGGAGGTGATGGCATCTGCCCTGTTTTGCGTAAGCTTGGAAGCCAAGCTAGACTGAGTCAGGTTAGCATATAATGGTTAGTGCACCAGAACATTTCAAGGTTGTAATGAGATTGGATTTGTTGTGGAATGGGAAGAAAGAGAAATGGAGGATGACCAGCAACAAGATGAATGGACTTAGTTACAGTAGTGATGGGTGCACCATTGGAAGACCTGAAGGACCAGGCTGGGGACAGATCATCATAAAGAATATCTGTGGGGCTGCTGACATTGACACCGACTTGATGGGGCAAAATCAATCAATCAACTAGTTTGGGAAGTCCTTGGAAGAAGGCAGGGGCAAACCCTTTTGGTATTGCTGGCCAGAAGCTACCCGTAACTATGTAGTCACTAAGAGTTGAATGTGGCTTAAAGAAGAGTTTAACTTGTGCTGTTGTACTTACAAATTCCTTACTGGTCCGGGTTAAAGGATGCAGAGCAACTGTTATAAACCATATATTTTATAAGTTTGATCATTTTGGGAACCTCATCAAATAGTTCCTAATATCTCTTTTTCTAATATAGAAATGACCACTAATATAGAAATGACCAAAATTTCAACCATGCTTTAGAGTTTATGGGTCTCAGATCAGAACTCTTAGTTCCACATATAGATATACTTGCGATAATAATCTTGGCCCCCTGCTCAGAAAATATATAGTTAATAAAATTCAAAAAACCATGAAAGAAAAACTTTTTGTAAAAGAATGAAATGCCTCATACAATCTCTGCATTGTTGTATGACTGCATAGTGATGTGAGGTGAATTTGTACAAGGAGTTTCATTATTAGAAATGAGAAACAGCTTAAACAGATGAACTATTCTGAAAGAATTAGGACAATCTGACTTTTAACATGAGCAGTGTGGCAATGGAAGGATTTTAAGTCAGATAACTGAAAGTACAGGAGATTGGAGTTCCTTGTTCTTGAAACTGACAACAATACAAGTTCCCTAATTAATTTATCACATAGAGATATATGTGAATTTGGGAATAAAACATCATGATAATTGGCTAAAACTTTCAGGAAAAAAAGAGAAGGAAAATATGGGAAATGTTTTCAAAATGGAAAACAAAAGGAATTAAAACTCATCCCAAGGCATTCAACAAGGCATCTAAATAATATCTAAAGTTGTATTAAGTGAATGCTCCATCAATTCATAATTTTTAGAAACTCAGAATAACTATGAACTGGGTTGATGATGATTACATTGATGATGCAATCCAAGGGATCATTAGATTTTGTGCTAGGAGAACAAGACAATAGCTGAGCACATAATTGCTCAATTAAAATTTTAAATCAAGATGTAAAATTTTTAATTGTAATTTTAGCCAAAGGATTAATAAGTTTATTACCTCCTATATATCCACAAATCAGGAACAGTTTTTTACCTAGATAAAAGGGGCCAAGACTTTATTTGAAAGGCACTGATTGATAGAGTTCAGCATAGTAATCCTACATCTAAAGGTTTAGGTGACATTTAGAAATAATTTATGATACCATTGACTGAATGGATGCATGCTGATCAGTCATTAATTGGGATGATTTTAAACTAACCAAATTAAGCAGAAGGAAAAGATAAGCCTGAATATTGTCTCCATTATTAGTTGCACTCAGAATGAGTCACATTATGCATATTCATTCAGAAATTACAGGAATTAATATTAAATGACTCTAACCTACATAACTTTTTTGCTGATGACATCTTGGTTTGTACTTCTGATCCTGCCTATTCCCACAATCACTGATGCATTACACACATTCCAAATAATTTTTGCATTTAGCATTGACATAGGACAGATGGAACCACCTTCTTTGGTTAAAATCTGCCTTGGGAAATCATTACTATTACTACTACTTCCACCACACAGTGCACAACTAATTTGAATGCTCTCTTTTCTAGATTCAAATATCCAGAAATTCCTAAACACGCATGCAATAACTTTTAATAAGAAATTATTTGCATTTCTCACACTGGTTAGAAGAAAAACTATCAGAATGGGAAAATTACATTTGTCCATGAAAAGAAGATAGGAAACAGCTAAAATGATTATTATTCCCCAAATATCATTTTTATTTCCCCCCTAAAAACCTACCTCCATTTCCGAATGAGCATTCTCAGTGGCCAAAATTATAATTTCATTCCTATGAATAGTACAGTAGATTTGCAGTTCTATGTCATAGAAATAATTAACCAGCGTTGATTTAAATGTGTGCCATCAAATCGGTGTTGACTTTAGTGACCACATAGATAGATGTCCTCCAGTTAATCTGTCCCCAACCTGGTCCTTCAGGTCTTCCAACAGTGCACCCATCACCTGTAACTGAGACCTTGCTTTTTTTCTTTTACAGTAGATAAATTTAATGACTCCACTATAATGTGGATATAACGTATTTCAAAGTATAGCTTTTACTTAAACTTTAATTTACTTTTACTTAAACTTAGACAAGCGAAATTTCCAGGAGAGCAAACAGCTTTTGAGAAGTTATATTCTATACCAGTGCATTTATCTACAGGAACTGAATCACCCCCTTGCAGAAGTCCCATTCATATTACTTACAGCTTTAATTCACCTGTAAAACTGTCCTAGGAATAGACTACAACATACCAATAATCAATGAACAGTAGCAACTGCTCAAATTAAAGAACCAACTTCAGAACTATATCACTGGTCACATTATGTATCCCACTAATAACTCTCTCCTAATAGTTGGAAGGCATGAGAAGAACATGGTTCATCAGATGTGTGGATTGAATGCCCATTGGAGACATGCTTTGGAGACCAGATATTAAGATTTTTCCCAAATGGTTAAACAGTCTGTGAATTCTTGCAGTGCTCCTTCTGAGTTATCCATCCTGAAGGACAATAAGGCTGGATTTTCACACTAATACATCTCACTTTTGATTGTTACTAGCAGGGGTGCGCTCAGGAATATCAAAACATTCAGAAAACTACAATAACTTCTGGCCTTAATTTGCAAGGCTGGCTAGGTACATATTAGTGAGTTACTGTAGCTAAGAAGCTTACAAAGAAGTAGGGATATCTGTGGAGTTGGGTGTTCAAAAAAGTCAAGATGGCATTCACGACTGTTCAGTGAATGCCTTTTTGCTACCTATGTTACATGGGGGAGTTTCACATGGTGGCAGCTGCATCTTGCACCGATGCTTATAAGATTCATAGTCCTACATAAAAAGACTTGTGTATATTTGTATGGCTCCCAAATAAGAAAGATGACCATCTCAAGAAGTTGTTGTGAGATGGTTTGGCTATGTCCACACAAGACAGTTAACTAGGTCAGATGATGATAAGGAGGAGGAACGGAGGTTTAGAGAGAAGGATTGCCCCAAAGTCATGCATCGGGTTTCTGTGGCTGATGATAGGCGGCCCCCCTATTCCTAATCCATCACCTTAAACTCTACACCACCCAAGTTAAAGATGAAATGTGGACTTCATACAACATGCTTCTATAGGGTTTGATTTGTTGGTTTCTGTATATGACTTAGGAAGCCATGCAAATCCTTCCTGTTTGGTTAATTGATTCTTCAATAGGTTAATTCTGTAACCAAGTTAAACACATTGTGCAAATTCAGCCACAGCTGCAAAGTAAATGCCTTTCAAATATATCTCTTATTGCCTCTGGGCAGTCTTTTCCAGTGATATCACAAAACAGTCAACTTTTTCAATATAGCAATTTTATCATCAGGAGTTAATCCCCCTCAATTTGATTCTTTGCTGATTTACTTATTTCTTGCATTTTTATCCTGTCTTGCCTCTGAGAATTCAAGGTCTCCCCTCATTCCATTCCCACAACAAGAGAGAGAGCACCTGGCCCAAAGTCACTCAATCATCTTCCATAGCAAAGGTAGACTTGATCCTGGGTCTCCGGAATGCTAGTCCTTAGCCACTATACTGCACAAGCTGAGGTTTCTGCAGGATTGGATTAAGTGCCTTTTTGGATCCTGATGAAGGGTGAGCAGACAAGGGAACAGGTCTGACACCCATCTCATTCATTGACTTGAACATCAAAAAGTGGTGACTCCAATTTTCTGGCTTATCCCAGCCATGCAAGATGAGGTCACAGAATCATAGACTGTAGAGTCAGAAAGACTATAAAGATAACTTAGTCCAGTGTTTCTCAGACTTGGACTAAGCATAGCTAAACATGGCTAGGGAATTCTGGGAGTTGACGTCCACATGCCTTAAAGTTACCAAGTTTAAGAAGCACTGATTCTAGTCCAACCCTCTGAAATATGCAATGAGAAGCTATCCTTGTCCAGC